CTTTTTCAGGAAAGGTTCAGTTTGTTCATGGTATTTCAAACACAAGGAAAATGCTTCATGCTACAACACCCAAATCCACATAACTGTAATACACACCTACGGACGTCAAAACCCTTTTCTTTTTTTTTTATCAATTCTTAATTCAGGATCTTTTACGTTGTTTTGCTTCACAAAAGTAACCGTAACTATGATTTGGCTCATCCTACTAAGTTAGATAATTTTGATTGGTTTGCATTTAAAAATTAAATTTGATGTGTTTTGAAAATGAGTTGAGTTATATTTGAAGTTAAAATCTATAGTTCAATGCTTGAAAGCTTAGTTTAACCTTATAAATCAAATACATTTTAATACTAATCAATTAAAAACAGGACTTCATTAGTAAAGTAATTTTACATGGATAATTAATGTGTTAACAACACATATCATCGATTCACCGGCCATACCTTTAACCCCACCGTCTTTAATCGGTCCCATCAAGGTTGTTCTTCTCCTCCATCTACCCTCCAACAACTAATAAACTTCTGATGATTGCTCACTTGTCATTTTTGCATTTGTCTAAGCGAAAGCTAACATGTGATTGAGGAAACTAGAGTTAAAAAATAAAAAAATTTGAGGAGCATGATAAAATTATAAGTAAAGGATCACAAAATAAGATGGTTGCATCAACCTCCATCGTGGAGGAAAAAATGAAGTGTTAATCAAAACCACGATATTTTTATCCCAAGTCAATAATATTAATGTTATTTTTGTTAAGTGGTATAATAGAATTAATGAAAAGAATTAATATGAAACTAAAAAGAAGATGAAGGATTAAATTAATATTAAAAAAATATCCATTACACTTTATAATTTTAATATAATGAATTTTTTTAATAAAAAACTACTACTCGTAAATGTTTAAACTTAACTTTTAAGAATTGAAGTTACTAAAGTTAACTAAAAATTAAATTAATTTTTAAATCAATATAAAATATAATTTTTTGAACTATAAAAAAATCATATATTTAAAATTCGATACATTTTACCATTTTCTTGAAATTTAAAGAATATTATATATATAATATTCACGGAATATTAACCTTTTAAAATTCAAATATTAAAGCTGTAAATATTATCTCTTGAATAAAGAAATCTTGCGAAATAAAGCAGATAAAAATAGGATTATTTTTTTATATATGGTATTTAAAAATTAATTATATTGCAATATAATATTTTTAAAAAATTTATTAAAATATGAAATTTAAAAATTGTTAAGACTAATTTTTTGTATAAATATAAAAATTTAATTTAGAGATAAAATAAAAAATAATAAATTCTAAAAAATTGTCAATGATGATTTAATTAAAAATATATTGAAAATTAAAAATAAAATAAAAATTATCACGGATAATTTTTGAAAGAAATTATATTTTTATAATTTTATTTAAAAAAAAATATGCATGGATGGATAGAAAAGCATGGGAAGTTGGTTGCCCTTATGCGTGGAAACAAAAACAGTAGCAACGAGTATTATATAGGCATGTCACAAAAGAAAACGGTGCTGGTAGTGATTCCCGAGGTCACAAAAAGTGTAAAAGAGAACAGGATATTAAGAAGAAGACAAAAGCACTTTTACCACTTCCAATCTTCCGTTTCAATACTCAACAGCAGTGATCACAAAACAACAAAGCTTTGTTTGATGCATTGCTGTGTGGGAAAATGAGTTAATTCACAACGTAATGTCTCCGCGGCCACAATACCCCATCCCAAATCTTCCAAACCTACCACAAATCAATTTTGTGCATCTATAACTTATAATACATCAATCATCAATGCTAACAGAAATCTTTACTGCTTTAGTTGGGAATTTAATTAAAATCAATATATATTAATTTCTTAATTAATCACATTTTTACTAAAGAGAAAATGTGTTCAATGTTAAAAAAATAAGAACTAAAACATTTTTTCAAATACCAAAATTAAAAGTTTACAAAAATTTTAACAATATATTGATGCCTATATTTATATATTATCTAACAACTCAGATTTGTCATTTTGTATTTTCAACTAATTAACTTTTTACTTACTCCTTTTTCTCCCTCTACAACTTTTTACTTACTCTAATATGTATGTGTGTGGTGTTTACAAAATTAGGCATTGAATAGTGTAGCAATGATTTCCGTCGACAGAATATTTATTTGGAATGGATTCAGATGAGCCAATCTTGCTTGATTATCCTCATAATTGGACCCTATTTTTAACTTGTCCTTCGTGTTGGCATTATTTTCAATTATAGGAGGGGCCACGGTGTCAAATCCTGTCCAAACTTAAATTTCGGTGTTTTTTTTTTTCTCTTTCTGGTGACAAGATAACAGAACAAGCTTACAACATTTTTGTGATTGAATCATTTATGTGCAGATTTCATCTTTGTTCAATAGAAGATCTAATTTCAATATAAGCACGAGACTTTATAGAGCACTCTATTCCATAAAGTATTAATATATAGATTTATTGTTTAACTACAACTGAGTTATGGGGAGGGCGGTCTTAAACGTGGATGTTTTATTGTTTTATATACTAACAATGTTCTTAGTCCAAATGAGAAGTAGGGAAGTAGGTACACTCGCTCACTCTAAGTTAACATGGCATATGAACTTGTTGTTCAAATGAACATTGGTGTATAATAATAGTGCATACACTAAAAGACAAATAGTCTGGTATATAAACTTACCTAAACCAACTACCTTTAGTTTATAATTAAAATTGTTTTAGTGTGAAAAACTATTAAGATTATCCATTCTTTTGCCGTAGTTGTTGAAGCTCTCTCTTTGGATCCTCTTGGTTTGTCCCCAAGTCTCCCCTGCAGGGCGCATTAAATAAATAGGAATTAGTAAGCAGAGTATATTCTAAGTCATCCAAACCCTTTTCTATGCCCAATGCGAATTTTTAGTTATTCAACGCTAACTTTTGGCTCTGTCTTAACATTTTCAAGAGCAACCGGGGATTCCAACCTGACACTACCACCACTGGACCTTGAGAAATTTCGTTTTGAAGCTAGATTTCAAGACTCTTCACTTCTTATTGATTATTTGTTCGTAAGAACATGTGTTAAAGCTATTCTGAATGGCAAAAGCAAACATGGGTAGAATGAAACAAAAAGAGAGAAAGAAAGAAAAGGAAGCACGTTTGATTCAAATCATCATTCTTGACCTCTTTTAAGTTAATTTCCATTTGCATGAGACGACATCCAAAAAATATTCTTTTCTTTTACAAGCATAGGTATATAATAACTAAGGAAGTGGTAAACAGTGCGAAAATACTTTATGAATATTAGGTGTCGTAATTATATTGGAAATTTAACTTTTATTGCACCTCACTCCTGAATATTTATGCCTAACCTTGCTCTTTAATTTTGAAGGATGTTGTTACCAAGTATCTTAAGATGATAATAATTAATAAACATCAAATACACCATTAAAATATTTTAATAACTTGTTTATTTAAGAAGTTCCTTTAAGTTAGCTGTTAACATTAATTTGTCAATTTTAAAATCATCTGTTTTCATATCGACAGTTTTCCTACTATTTAGCGTCTCGATAACTTTTTTTAGAGAACGTAGAGTCGAGTAACAGACATTCGAAGATGAATACGGAGCTCAGTGAATTTCTCTAAATTATATTGTGAGATAAATAACTTTATTTTAACTGCATTAATAAGATTAGAAAAATAATAATTTTTATTTATTTTTAATAAAATTTATTAATCGATCTAAGATAAAATTATTTATCATACATGATAACACAAATACAGCTCGGGGAAATGAATTGAAACAGAGGCACCTGGGAGTTTGGGACATTAAAATCACTAAGCTGTTTCTTACTTTGGCCGTTATTCTCTAAGGATTTTTGCTAGCTAGCTTCTTGATAATTGGGAAAATGGTAAAGAACCTTATCTGGTTATGTTTTCTTGTTGTCACTTGTCAGGTTTACTAGTTCGCTCGTCCTTGATTGTTTTCTTACTTGTTTCTGCTTTTGATAGGTGCATTATTTTTCATGGGGTAAAAAAGCTGCAAATAAAGAGAGAAAAGGAAGTCGTGCCACCTGCAACATCAACTGCACCCGCCCAAGATTAATTAAGCCTAATATTCTTTTCTTCCTTCCAACAAACCCTTATATACCCCTTTTCCATTGATCAACGACCAATCCTCACCAAATTTTAAGTATCATCGTCTCTCCCAGCTAGGATGAGATCTCATAACTTTAGGCACATAATCCAAATTCATATTCATACTTTGGGTTATGTATATAGAGCTGCCTTGTTTTTCTCTTTGGCGGAACCAACAAAATATTCATTAATTGTTGTGATTTGAGCAAATTAATTTCTGGAGGTTATGATACTGGAGAGACATTGTACCCTACACGCACAAGAAAACCAAACTGCTGCTGCCTCGTGGGTTTGTGTGCAGAACTCTCCTCCTAGCTAGCCTCTAGTGCCCATTACAGGAGTAACAGGACCACACACACGCAGCAACAACAAACACAAGGACAATAAATGAACCCGCCTTGTCACCCACTATCCCCATCACCAACGTCATACAATAATTCCAAGAAATTACAGCACGCGTTTTCCTCTCCCAATAAAAATAAACACAACCCAGAGAGAGTAGTTATCTTACATAACAAATCAAGAACAGAAACAGCACTATACACTATACACTATACACTATTGCTACAATAAATATGAAACAGCATCGAAACCCCAACGTCCCTCTCCTTCACACGCCTCCTTGGTTTCACACTTTCACTAAATTTGTCTTTTTTATCAATCAAAACAGAAACGCCGCTCTCTCTTCTCCCATTTTCACCGAAGAAAGTTTTGTTTTGTTTTTTTTTTAATCCCATAAAGTGGAATACATACACAACCGCCAATATTTTCTTTACCGTAAGAGAAAAAAATGAACAACTAAACAGAAATATACTGACATAACATCAAACCCATGTTAATATTGAATCAGTGTTGTCTTACACGAAGCTCCCTGAGAAACTACTCTGGCGCCGGTTGTTGCGTGTCCGGCGAGGGGTGGAGGACAAGAGTTCGACGACAAGGTCGGTGAAAGCACGAACGATGTATTTGTGGGTATGTGTGGGATTGAGAGCGAGGTAGCATAAGAGGAGTTCATGGAGATAGTCCCAATCTTTTCTAACGTCAAAGATTTGGCGGGAACGGATCATTTCCTGCATTGAACGGAGGAAATCGACGTAGGGGTTGAGGGAGTACTTGGGGACCGTAATGCCACCACCGGTTGGGGTGGAAGTGCGAGTGTCGGGGGATTGGATGATGGAATTGGAGGTGCCTGGGGAGGAGAAGAAGAAGCGTTGGGAGGCGAAGATGGAGGCGAAGTCGGGTTCGGTGGAGTCGGAGGAGGAGGAGGAAGAAGAGAAGTAGTGATCGGTGGTGGATGGTGGTGAGGGTGGTGGAGAGTGTGAGTGGCATAGGATGGTGGGGTATTTGTGCTTGAAGAAACAGAGGTGAAGGTGTTTGGAGAACAGGCTGGGCATCTTTGCACAATGAGAGAGAGAGAAAACACGGAGGAGGAAGAGAAGAAAAGAGTTTCTTTGTGTGCGCTTTTATACAGAGTTGCTATCTTCAGCTATTTGTTAGGTGGGACATATACGTTCAACACTTCAATGCCAGATTTTAAGAGATTTCTTATTGTTATAAAAAAAAATTACAATTCCTACGAAAACACAAAAGGATATTTATTTTATTATTTAAAAATACATTTTAAAACTTATTAATTGCTTTGTTTTCTTTTTAATAGATATAAAGTAAATTTTTTTAAATACCATTTCTCCCTTTGAATTACAAATGATGAACAGACACCTTTTTTAGGATGTGTAATAAGTTAAAGTAACCGGATTAAAAAACTAACAAATATGATACATGCAACAAAAAATATATAAAACAAAATTACTTTAAAAAATGTAAATATAGATTTTTTTGGTTTTAAAATGAGTTTTCGAAAAAAGCAGATGATGTACTATAATTTTTTTATTTTCATTTTTTAAGGATACTATTATTAACATAAAAAATTAAAATATGGACTTAATATAAAATTAATGTATTATTAAATAACACGTGGGTACATTAAAAAGATATTACATTGTAAAAAACATATGTAAAACAAGATAACTCATAGATAAAATATAAAAAATATTATATACATATATATAGAGAGAGTTCCATCCTTACTTCCACATATGTTTTTTAGATTATAAACATTGGTTAATCTTAACTCCTAAATGTACAAGTTTCGAATTTAAATTTTACGTATATATATATATATAACGGTAATGAGAGTCTTAAATCCGTTATATAATTTTATTTATTATATTTAAGTTTAACAAATAATATAATACTGTTAAATGACTAAATTTAGCTCTAAGGTATATATATATATATATATATATATATATATATATATATATATATATATATATATATATTACACTTTATTTTAACGTAAACGCGTGTTTCATGAACAACCATTTTTTACTCTAAACATCATTGTCATATAATTTTAGATTCCAACTATTAAATTTGAAACTTAAGAATATTAGGTGGAAATTTTGGATAAAATTTAAAATTTGATAATATGAATGTTTATGAAACGAGTTATATTTGTCCCTCACAATCTTATGTTTAAGGCCAAATTTCTTAAACCGGAGCCATCTCGAAACTGGAAAAAGTACAATAGTACGAGTCTAATTAAGAACATGGTTTAAGTTAGATAAAAATGAAATTATCTAAAAGAATACATTTTTGCAAAATAAGATAATGATACAAATGTGTATTATTAATAGTTTCAATTAAATTTTAAAAATGTAAATATTTAATTGTATATTTGATCCTCTAATTTGAGTTATGGGTAATTTTAATTTTAAAGTTTTTTTTTTCAAAATATATAAATTTGATATCTGTTAAATTTTTAACTGAAAAATGTTTAACATATTTTATTAGACATTAAAATTATTTAAAAATAAACATTCAATAATCTTATATTTCAACCTAACAATTGTTTTTTATGAATATTTTTTTAATCTTACATCAGGGTGTATGGAATAATGGGATGAAATATGCCCATATAAGTAGTTTTAAATATTTTTAAAATTCAATAAATGGATTTTATTTTTAATATAATAATTTTAAAATATTTATTTATTTTTCATTCTCTTAACCTGTGCTCCTATTTTTTATTTCATTTTGTTTTTTTTACTAGTATATTAAGAACAATCTAACAATAGTTTAATTAATATACCTTTCAATATAAATTCCTCGATAGTGATAATAAAGTGCTATCATTGTATGTGTTAAATTGAGGGAGAGACAGCAAAGAAAGTTGGATGAGCTTTGTATTGGAAATAAACGTTAATCTACTCAGCTTTTGCAGTTCACGGGTTTTCCTATAGTCTTTTAAGTGTGGAGTAATTCACTACTTCACTTAAGTGGCAACAACCAAATGTTTTAGTAAATCTTATGTCCCTTCTATCAAGCATAGTGTTAAATGTTACTAATTGAATTAATAAATTGAAATTCTACGTATGAATATATTAAGTGTATAAAAATTTATATGATTCAAAATACAATTAATACTTTATCAAATCTTTTTTATTTTAACATATAATATATTTTTTAATTATATGTTTATGAATATTTAATTTATTTAAATTATTGCATCACATAGTACATAACATAATATCACATTATTTAATAATTCAACTTATTAATTCAATATGTTATAAAAAATTAATGTTAACAGAATTTATTTTTGGAGTAAATTAATACTCGCTAGAGATATATAAAATAATAATACTTTTTTTACGTGAGAATGCAATAATAAATGTTTGCTATTAAATTCTATTAAAAACAATAAAGATTAAAATATACAAATTCTGTAATATTAATTTAAAAAATTGCATAGTTTTTACAATAATTTTTCACTGTTTGAATATAATTATGAGATGCAAATTTTAACAAAAAGAAAGAAAGAAAAAACATTTATACAAGACAGAGAAATGTGCGGTGCGCGTGTTTTGGACATTTTTTTTTGTTGCCTTCAAATAATATTTGTTCCAATTGAATTATTTATAAATTTCTTCAAGAGCTGCGTAAACTTTACACAAAGTGATTGGTGAGAGAAAGATCTTTCATGTTGAATTTCATGTCATGAACAAGTTTGCCAATTGCTAAGTGCTTGACAAATATAAAAATGGAAAAGAATAGATAATAATTGCGTAGCTTTAAGCTTACTAATAGCTATCAGTTATTGGAGTAATTTAATTCCAGTAAAACTACAACTTTTGAGCTTCCTATAACTAGTTTTCATTTCATAAAGCTTGACTGTAATTTTGATTTCTTAAATTTCATTTATTTATATTTAGCTTTAAGTATTTTTAATTACTTAAATTAAGTTTTTTATCTTAGAATTTTATTTAATAATTAATAAAAAAACATTTAATCTATCATTGATTTATATAAAAAAATAAAAAAATAAAAGAATAAAAATTAAAACACAGGTACAGTCAAGCATGTTAACATCGTTTGGTCGCATCTGTCATTTCAGAGATGATTGAAGGGTATGCACAATCCCCTGACAATACAAGAATAATGATGCGCTTCATTGCTCAACCAGGCTTTCATTTGACCTCCCATTTTTGTGAATTTCCTGATTTTTGTATTATGTTCATCAACATCACTCAAGTTGAAATCTAAGTTGTCCGGTTTTTCTTCTTTAAAAACCAGCGTATAACATATAGAGCAAAACCAATGCAAAATTATTTAGCATTTAAACATGAAACTTTCTTCATGCATGACATCTTGATCGTCTTCGCAACATGAAATAACCTGGAAAGGCGAACCCCCCCCAAAAAAAAAAAAAAAACTTTGGCGTGATAGTAATAATAGATGAAAATGTACACAGAAAGAAACAATGAAATTATTTGAACATTGCTTATAATTTTTTAATCTGTCTCTCAAATGTTAAAAAAACAGAACAAAAATGTGGTGAAAACAGAAAATGAAAATTACTATATAGTATTATATAATAGATATGCATGGCATGTCAGGCATGCAAAGGGTGAGTGGGATTTTGGGTGACAAAAATGCCCCCTCTTTTTAAACTTGTTAGTGAGTGAGACTGAATTTGTCCTCTGCAGCTGTCCCATGTGAATGTGAGTGTCCTTGCTTCTCCACTGGAATCACGTGAATTTATGATCATTTTTGTCCTTACCATTTCCCATTTCCCATTTCTAGCTAATATATGCTACCAACTTATAAAGAGGGTCCGCATCGTGAGCTGTGATTTTGTGCCCTCAGTTTCAATTTGTCTGTTTCATATTTTTACTCTCTCTAACTTCTAACATACAATGTTCTCTCCACTGTACCTCTGCCCAGAAATTTACAACATCACATTTTACACATTAATATATGCCATTGATTCAATGTACATAATTGTAATTCAGTGACACTTTGATTGTTATATAAAGTGTTCATTGTTGTGTACATGACATTACTTCCATAATGACTGTCAAGTGTCAACACTAGATACCTTATGCCCTTTTTTTCTCATCATCTTTTCAAAAATCAAATTCAAGAATGAAGCGATTTATATGTTTCAGAATATTATTTCCATAAAATTTATTAAAAAAAGTGGTATAATTAAAAAGAATCGCAGTACAAAAAAATAAAAATCTTTTCAGAAAAATGTTTAACGCAAAGTTAAATTATGTGTGTTTTGATTCTGTTTTAATTTCTTGCCTCCAAACCTGAAAGTTATTTTTGAAGTGAATTAATTCTCACTTATATATAATCCTTCTGTTGACTTTTAGATTTAAAAGTAATTATTACATTATTAATACGATATTTCCGAGATCAAATATTTAGTAGTTTTATTGGAATTTGGTATATCATTACACAATTATCCCCATCAAATGAACTTTGGAGCACAATATGATGTTTCGTGAGTGTATGGAAAAAACATCATAGCTCTAATCACTAGACAAATTTATATAAATTGTTTATTTCTTCTTCATGTGAATGTACATACACACGTACGGATACATGAAACATCGTATTTAGTGGACAAATTTATACAAATTATTTTTTACATGGATGATATAAAAAGCTTAAATTATATATAAGCACTGATACAAACAATTCTGTATATGCAGGAAAACATCATAGTTCCTTTACAGTAGTTTTAAATTTGCTAATTCCTAGCTATAATGTTTCATTTATGATTATTTAAAACTTGGAAAACAGTTGATGACACCAATTTCTTCTAAGTTTTGCTTTATCAACTTTGCTGAATATCACCAAACTTTTAGGTATAAATGTGACGACTGACGTTAAGTTTTTTCTTTATTATTATTATTATTAGATTTTCATATTTATATTTTATCTTTATTTATTATTATTATTATTCAATTATTCTTGAAAATTGATTCCAATTAATTCAAGAATCTTATTTAAAGAGTCAATAAATAATAATGAATTTTAAATACACCAAAAATTGCAAAAAAAAAAAAATTAATATTTTTAATTTTTAAATTCTTAAATCAGTATCTTAAATACAACATTACAATTTTTCAATAAAACAATATCATCGTTTCCGCATATAAAATGTCAGTGCGAAAAAAATGACAAAAATGAAAATAAAATAATGAGAATGTTATTATAGAGTTCGAAACAGTAGTCTATATCTTATTAGCAAGGAAAAGAGACACTTAGAAACGCCACTCAGACTACTACCACTTGATATACCCACAACCATCATTCCACAACACATCGACAGACCAAAAAAACAACACAAAACATGCATCATTATTTTTGAGGATCACAGGTTAACATTTTCATTAAGCCTAGCAGCAGCCGCAACAGAAGCTGCCACGCCGCCGGGAGTCGCTGTGGCCTCCGGGTTGTTCCTAACCTCAGCACTCGCCACGCCTTCAGCATCTTGAATTGTCGCCGCCTTATCAGCCGGCAACTTGGCGGTGGCCCCCGTCAAAACGTCGGCGAGCTTGATCTTCTCCTGGTCACGCTTGCAGTCTGCATTGTAAGCGGCCGCCGATTGAGCCATAGCAGCCAACCCACCCGGCGCTATAACATTACTCCCCGTCGCTCTCACCTCCGCCGCCTGTATCGCCGACGCGTCACTCTGATCCACCGATTTCTGACCCACCGTCTGTGCCGTCGCCTCCAGCGCCTCCCCTATGGTTATTGCACTCTCTCGAACCGCACCCACTCGCCCCGCCTGAACCGGAGTCGGCTCAGAGTACTGTTCCACAACCTTCAAAGTATCGAAAAAAGGGAAAACGAAAAGAATAATGACATTGTAACGTAAAATACTCAAAACACTGTAATAATACTCGTTTCCATCTCTTTATATCATATTATTATATAATATTTCACAGTTTTTTTATATTTATTTTTCTTTCGTCGTTGTTAAATAGTCATGTAAAAATATAGCGATGAGTGTAGATTCTGTATAAAAAGTAAAAGAAAAAAAACTATGTACTGAAAAAATAATAATAAAGAAATTTGTTAAAAAAAACTTGAAAAAAAATCAGATGTAAACAGAGTAATTACTCTGACGTCCCAAAGAGATTAGAAAATAAAAAGAAAAGGAAAAAATGATATATATAATTTTAATGTCATGTGACTATAAAAAGTTTTATGTTAATAACAAATATAATTACGACAAAAAAGCAAAGTCTAAATTTTTTAATATCCATAATAAATATAATTTTAATGCAATCTGAAAATAGGATTGCTCAAGGAAAATCCTATGACAAAAGCAAACGCGGACACTGAAAACGAGACAAAAATTAACTAGAAAAAGGGGGTCGGAATCAGAACCTGCCCACCGACTGCTTCAGTTATTATACGTCGTCCGGGGACATGAGTCTCTGAGACAGTGACGCCGCGGTCCCCGGTGACGTCGGTGACGTCTCGATGACCGACGACTCCGGCCTGTTCGTTCCGAGTGGCGGCGGATTGCATGACAGCAGCTGCTCCACCGGCTTGAGTGTGGCCCAGCACTCGGGTCTCGGCGCTCTGCATCATGGCCGCGTCTTCCGGCGCAACGGGCTTCTTTGCGAGGTCTCCGGAGACGTCAAAAACGTCGCCGTATTTGATGGGATCTTGGGGTTCTTGGGGGCGCCTGGGCTGCTCCTGACTCATCTTCTCGGAATGCTTTTGCTATCACTTATAACAGCGATGAATGATGAGAATATATATATATATATATATGGATATAGGTTCAGTGTTTTGGAGTTGGGAGTAGCTAATTAGGTATAAATAGGTTGTAATGGAAGTGGAGAGGGAGAATACGTGGCCAAGCGTTACACATGGCAATAAGAAGTGTTGTAGCAGGGGACGTGGCATGCTCATTCACACCCACCTAGCTTCCTTTTGCCAAGTTTTCCACCTGCTGTAGGGGAAAATAATATATGCCATGCTAATCGTTGCAATTACATTGCTAATTATATAGCATGTCACTTATTTTAAATTTTATTTTTTTAATCTAAATTTTTACCTTTTTAGGGTTGATTTTAAGTGTTTAATTATAATTCTTTTTTATTCAAAATTAAATACTTATTATGTTTTTATATTTTAATAAATACTTTTACTCTACATAAAAAAACTTTTTTTGAATTAGTAAATTCAAATATAAAATCAGGAGTATATCTATTAGTAAAATATATACAATTAATCTTATTTCTCTAATATAATTGGCGGTGGCAATCGCAATGTCATTAAATGTATTCGAGATATTTCTATACCTTCTTAGAAAAATTGAAATAGTAATTATACTTTTTTTCATACCCAATGAGATGTATACATTTTTTTAGAAATTAAAGGAAACAGAAATTACTAATGTAATGAAGTTGATAAGACCAAAAAAAAAAACTAAATGTTTTTCAAGATATGAATATAAGAAAATTAAATTTGTTTTCCTTTCTATTCAGGTTGAAATCAAATCTAATAACTTGAAAAAATGTTATCACAAATTAATATTCTGGGTAGTAAAAAAATAAATTAAACGTGTATACAATTTGATTGAAGGTAGAAATATCAGCGAATCGGTGTTAGTGTGATTCGATCGAGGTAATAAATTTAAAAATCAAACCATTCATAATTTATTTTTATCAAATTATTCTTTTTTATTTGGTCTTTTGAAATATTATAAATTTTTTAATTTATTTTTATAAACAGTATAATATTTTCATAATATTATAAGCTTTATATTTTGTTATTTTAAAATAAGAGACTCAATAAACATAATGTAGTATTTAAAGGAATCAAATAAAAATCCTTTTGTAGTAAATTTTTTTATGAGAAATTTATTTTAAAAAATAAAATTAAAATCATACATTTTTTAAAAACCACCTTTTAATCAAACTCATTATTCGTTATATATATATATATATATATATATATATATATAAATGCATTTGATCGCAATTTAAATAGTAAACACTTAGAAATCTTCTATTACAATCGCTATGCACTTACGATTGACCGCTATGCATTTAAGAGTGCCATTACATATTCAAGCTATTTGGTAATGTCGGTCAAATGAACAGCCATTTAAGATGTTTATTATTTTTCACTATCTTTTTTTTCTCTACTTATTTTACACTCAAAAAGTGAAATCAATATATAATATTTTTATTTATGGAATCAAAAGCGTGAGCTTCAAGTTATATATGCTTCAAATATAATTTGCACTAGTCTTATTTAATTCTGGAATCATAAAAAATAGGACTGGTTAGGAATTGATCATATCAACTTAAATTTATGTTTTTACTTTTTTAACTACTTACTATAAAAAGTAATAAATTATAAATTTATAATTGTAGTGTTTACTCTTAGGCTTACTATAGTTAGCTATAGTTCATCATTTAATAACTATTAATAGTTAGTTTGTAACTACTTGAAATTCCGAAGAGAGTTATTTTAGTTTGTTGTCTTTTGTACTTACAAGTTACAATCATTATTCCTTATTATAACTTATTATCCTTAACCATCGTTTGGAAGCCCCAATAACAAAGGAAAGAAATCAAGACTTTTTGTTTTAAGGAAAAAAAATCAATTCATTTTATTTAGCTCGGATTAGTCAAAAAATTGAGAAATGAAAGAAAATTAAGTTGCGTATGGACTCACGAAATAAAAAAAATCTCATGGCACACGAGCAGTGAAAACATGACATGATAAAAGAGAGAAAGTTATCAAGATAAATTTATTATATTGTTAAATTTCAAATAATATTAATGTCCTATATTTTTTTTTCCTTTTAGACAAAACAATATCCCCTTATATTTTTTTTTTATTTCTTTCCATGTCCAAACAAAATTTTAATATAACAAGTAAACTAATTGAGGCAATATTGTCAAATAGATATTTAAATTTAAATGTAAATAAAATTAAATATCTTCATATCTAGTTTCAATTAGAGTGAAATTTTTTTAATCAAAATGATTAGAGAGAGAGGGGGGGAGTATTTGGTTTTAGAGGTGGGCATGGCTCCCAAAAAAAATTGTAATTTTCTTAATTTGCTATATGTATATAACTCAACTTTTATGGATGTATAAGAAAGAAAAGTATAAAATCTAGATTCTATATGTATAAAATAAAATTTATGAAAATATTATTATACTTCTTAGAACTATATCTTTTAAAGTTTTCGTAGAAATCAAATAATTACCAACATATCTTAAACAGAAAAGTAAAGAAGTTACTACCTCATGGTTTTCCCATATATATAACTTGTGAGATACAGTCTTACAGTGCATTCATATTCATAAACGCTTACCACCATTCTGCACTTTGAAGGCTTTTGCAAGTTCTCTTCTCTCAGACTCACCATTGCGCTGCTGCAACTGTAAACCCCAATGGATAGCGAAGAAGAAAATGCTGAGATTCCCGACGATAACAATGAAGGGGCGGACGGAGATAACAATGATCGGGCACACGTCGAAGTAAGGAAACTTCCGCCTGTGGCACCAGAACAATTCGGCGAGGGCTTGCCTTATGCGCCGGAAAATTGGCCGAAGCCCGGCGACATTTGGGGATGGAGAACCGGTAAGAAAGTTTCTACGACTGGGCACTTCCTGAACCGATACCTTTATCTTCCATCTAGTCTTTGCGGAATCAGCAGTCGTGGCCGAACCGCAGGCCAGAAGCGGAAACAGTGTTTTGCTAGCAAGGTTGCGGTTAAACGCTACTTGACAGATACATTCCCTGATGTTAAAGTCTACGAATTCTTTGGTAACTTCAGCTGGATGATTCCTTGTGTAATGCCTGGTCAGTTTCTATATCCTGTCTTTTCGTTTTGTTTTGTTTTTTTTTCTTCATAATGTTTTATGTCTTCCGTTCTTTCTTGCACTTGGAGTGTTCTTGAGAATCATTCTCCTTCTTGTTCTTGAAATTTTTTTTCTTGTGACTGTTTCCCGCATTTAAAAAAAAAAAAAGAGAGCAGAGAATTCACGATGACACGGTGAACGAAACAAATTAAAGCAATTAAAACGTGGGTAATTTTTTCTCTGTGTCTATTCTAAAATAAAAGGTAACCATAAAAATGTTATAGACACTCAAACAGGTTTTATGATGTTTTGGATTTATCATTTCCCGAGTTTTGTCTTCTGCACGGGGTGCACTTTCACTTTAACAGCATTTATGTTCAAAAAAAGTCAAAACCATCGTCATACCATAATAACTTGAAAAAGGAAACTAATTTTTATCCATCTTTTTTTTCTTTTGCGTCAATTTAATTTTATGGAGTATTTTAAAGATGTGTATATATACATCAGATGAGAAAAAAGAAAAATAATTGTTAAATAATATAATAAATGATATTATGTTATATGAAAAGTGAGAAATGAAAAAAAAAAAAAACGTGAAAGAAAATAGAGGTAAAATATAAAACTTTGAAAATTATAACATGAAATTTTGATGTTTAGTGTTTCGAATCTGGCTCCGTAAGTTGTCTGGTTTGAAGGTAGTCTATGTGAAATTATAACATAAATACCTTTTGACATATATGCATCTGTTTTAGTCTCCTACTTGTAAATGCTTTTCCGCATCTTAAAAGATGATCACAATTAACAAGGTTGTTTTGCATTATAGGCGCTGAAGAGCCTGGCGCTGAAGAGCCTATACCGCAGCCTGCACCTGCGGTATCACTCGTAGAGTCATCACATTTGAAGCAGATAGAATCTAACGTTGTGTGTAAAGCTGGGAATAAGGAGTGCAGCAGCTTGAGTTTGGAAGAACGAGAAAAATATTCACCTGGGATGCCCTGTAACATATGCTGCGCTGTAGCTGATTTTTGCCGTGATTGTAGCTGCATTCTCTGTTCCCGAAATGTGGATTCAGCTTATGGTGGCTATAGTTACATCAAGTGCCTAGTAAAAACTAACGATAACATTTGTGGGCATGTTGCTCACATGGAATGTGCTCTTCGAGATAGCCTGGCTGGCACTGCTGGAGGAGACGTTGCAATTGATGCCGAGTACTATTGCCGGCGCTGTAAAGGGAGAACTGATTTGGTTTCTCATGTTAAGAAGCTTATAGAGTCATGTACAACTACTAATTTGGACAGTGACATTAGAAAAAATATTTTAAATCTTTGCACGTCTCTCTTAGAGAATTCAAAGAAAGACGATGCAAGGAAGCTTCTGATCAAAATCGGAAAGAGCGTCCAAGAGGTATGGTTAAATGATAGAAATGATGATGTCCTTGAAAGGCAACAGTATATATGACGAATTTGATAGTTTGCTTCAGGTTAAATGTGAGACTAATCGTCAAGATACAAGTTTATTCGATGACGGTTGTGAAGGTAAAAATATCATGTGTTACGTAATATTCAAATAATATTGTCCAATGTTTACCTTTATTATTGATGCAATATTTTAATATATGAACAGGCTTATCCGTTGAAAGCCCTTTAGACGTTCCAATAGCGACAGAACCTTGTCATTTGTCTGCTGAATTAAGACTTGAGATCGAGACTGATTGTATTCTGCGGGATCTTAAAAGTTCGCAAGAGTATGAATATAAATGGGCAGCAGGAAAACTCAATGAACAGAAAAAGTTGTTACAAGATTTGCACCGGCAACTGGAGGATGAGGCTGAACAACTACGTGTACGCCCCTCATCTGCCCCCGAAGGTTTGGAAGATTCGATCAGACAAAAAAAGGAACAGATAGAGAAGGAAACCATGAAATTTGAAGAAATGAAAAAGGTGGACATCGGTTTTGCCAGGACCTCCAAAGACATTTTACAGAATTACTTTGGCTTATGGGTTCGACAAAGATTCAATTGATCAATTTTCCCAACATCTGACCATAAATTTTCTTACTGACGTGAGATGGATAATCACGTGGCATTGTCAAGCAAGTTGTCCTGTACTCGTGCCATTCAAATAAATTGCGCATTGAAATCGTATAATACCGTGTTTTGTTATATTCTTTTAAAAATTTTATTATACTTTTTTATTAAGTAAATATTGAATAAAAAATCTATATTTATTATTTTAAAAATATAAAAAATATTAAGTAATTTTTATTTAATAATATAGAAATTATAAATATATAAAATAAAGAATTTAGAATTATTCAATTTTGCGGAATTATGCTTTCTTCTGAAGTCCTGGATATTAGAACCAAAGAACCTATTGAAACTAGTTTGTACAATCACCTGTAATCGTACACAAATGAAAAAAAAAAAAAAAAAGACTTGCACAAACAAACAAGGTTTCTTTTCTTTAATTTAATCTGAAAAATATTTGCTTTTCAAGCTCGACGAGCCTACCATCTCACATTCTCTTGAAATACGTTTGGCAGGTCACCTATTTGAATTTGCAATAACATCTCTTGAAACAAGAACATCACTAGTCACACACATAACGAGTTCGTATTTGATCATATTGCTAACCCCGTAGTGCTAGTCATTCATTATGGGCATTTGGTGATGGCCTGTGATAGTGAAAAAAATTTCTTTGATAGGGAAACTTAGACCCCTGTTCCTTCATTTTCTCGTGAAATGAGAGGTAAAATGTAAATTTTTTTTTTTTGGGGGGGGGGGGGGGTGTGGAGAAACGAGAGCACTAAATTAGAGATAAATTATGATGTTGAAATATTAATCCCTAAAGCTTTAGATAATAAAATATAAACTGATATGTGAATAATAACCTAAAGTGATAATTCGCCAAGATGTTCAAGCAAACATTTATTGCTGAGAAGCATCACACGCCTTTTAATACTATTCCAACGCACTTTCTAAATTTAATAAGGTTTATATATTACATTTCAAGACATATATAAATAATAAGTAAATAATTAAATAATGATTTCAGTTATTCTTCACTCTATTGTTACATAATGTGTTCTTACGTTTAAAACTGACTTTTAATACGCGAATTACCAAAGCAAAATATAATTTTAATTACCGAACAACACTAAAATATCTATAATATGATACGTAAGTTTTGTCTTTATCTAAATCACATAAGTATACATTTCAATAACAGGTTAGAGAGAGAGAGAGTTACTTGGGTGAAAACCACTATCCACTGAGAGCCATTAACATGAGAGAAAAGAAAAAAAAAAGAAAAAGAAAAAAGAGAGAAGTCCTGTTCAACACCCTACGATCCCGTGACGCAAAAACGAAAGGTTTGGAATTCAAACATTTTATCATATCTGTTGTGTGCAATGAAAAGAAGTGAGAGGCATATCAGCACATCACACCTCATCAACTACTTTCGATTCAGAGAAACCATAATAAAAATAAACTCATCATGGAACATCATACATGGAGCTAGCACAAATTGGGTATGTTGTTCCCAACTGTTCAGTCCTCTTCACAAAAAATAACTTAAAAAAAAAACTAACAAGACCTTCCACCAGGACCAATGAATCCCACTAAAACATTCTGGGTTTTCCTCTCTATTCCTCTCTTTTTAGCTTTCTGTCAATTTCTTCCTGCTCTCCTCTTCTAAATCCTTTTCCCTCTCAATTTTTCTTGTGTAGAAAATGACCGAGCCCTCTATTCCTCTTTCTTAAAATCTCTCTTTGATTCTCTCAACCTATCTTTATTCATATCAACCTCTGTTCGTAAACCATGAGATTGAGACTTAATTTAAATTGACGTCATTTATTCTATTATTGGGGGAAGTAATATCTCGTCCCATCCTTCAGAACTAAATTGATGCCAGTTATCTTTCATGATTCAAAATAACATTGAGACAACCATTCGAGACCAAAACAAAAAAGCTTCCTCCCTAAAATTTTTGTACCACCTAAAGCCAAAACGGCACACAATTGGCATATACAAAATTAAATAATCTCCTAAACAGAGCACAGACACACTGAATAAATTGTAATCAGAATGTACCACAGTTATATTCCAAAATTTGCCATTGCTATGAAGAGAAATGTTAACAACTTGCTCTTTCAAATACTTTCTCCAACACACTTTCATGTGATTAATTAATTTATAAAATGTCAAATTAAGTTTTAAGAGCCATCAATTTACGAAACAAATGCTTTGTTATTTTAAAAAATTTAATAATCACATGATCAGTATGTTAAAAAAGGGGGCATGTTGCTAGCATTTCACTTGCTATGAATAGACCATTCTCAAGAAAGAGCTCTTTTTGTTTACATTTTTTCTGATTCAACAATAGCAACAATCAAACAGGGAAACTAGTTCCAACAATGACCTGAAATCTAATTGACATACTAAGGGCAAGTTTTAAAGGCAACAAGGTGTTAACAAAAAAATTATTCATTCATTCATCACTGTACAAGCACGAGTCTACCACCCATACCTCTATCACCATCCCCATCTTCACGATTCTCTTCTTCGTCGCCCTTTGGCACCGTCACAATGAGTTCCCCGTCCACAAACACCGCACTTGCCAGCTCCGGCCGCGTTGATTCCGGCAACCGAAACCTCCACATATCAAGTTCAAGTTGATCAAGCGATAACTCCACCGATTCACCATCCCTTACCACGATCTTCGTCACGCCGGGGTGGATTTCCACCGTGTAAGCCCTAACGTTACCGATTCCGTCGGTTTCCGCCACGAAGCGGAAGCAATCAGGAGCTTCCTCCACCGCCACGTCAGCATCGGAGCGGAAAGGGAGTTCCAGGACCCGGCTAAAGACATGTGGGAGTCGCCGGAGCTTTTTGCCGGCGACCCCCAGCAAGGCTTGCGCCTCTGACATAGGGTTTCCGCCGTCGACGCCGAACTGAATAGTAATGTTGCGCTTTCTGGGAACAGGGTGAACCTTCATGATGTCGCCGTGGAACGCTGCAGAGGATTGCACCACCAAGATTAACAGCGTGATGATCAAAGCAAACTTTCCAATCGAAGAAAGAATCATAAAGGAACGGTTTTTCTGCTTCTTTTCTCTTCCCCCTTTCTATTTTGGGCGAAGAAATGGAACCCTAACCCTAATTTTCAATAGCCTCCCACAACGATCGAGTTTTCCGGTTGGAAAAAGTTTTTTTTTTAATATATATAATTTTCCCTTTCTTGAGAAAAAATGGGGAGGTTGGGAAGATATAATTGAAGAAGGAAAGAAGCGAAATAACTGCACAGATAAAGAAGAAGATGATTCGGATATGATGTTACTATGATGCCCTTATACTTCTTCCAATTTACTAATTTTTGTCTCACCTCAATTATTAATAAATAATAATATGCCCAAAAATAAAACTGATATATAAAAGATACTATGGGAATATATATTCGGCATTAGGTTTTGGAGAGAAAAAAAGATAAAGATAAAGATAAATATTTTTTTAATTAAAATATATTTCTATAATATTTATAAATTAATAAAAAAATTAATATATTCATATAATCATTTTATTTTAAAATATATTAAAATAAAAACATTCATTAAAAAAATAATTGATCCTTCCTTTTTTAAATTTAAATCTCAAATATATCTTATAACTCCCTAGCAAAAGAAAAATGGAAGCTATTCAAACGAAACAGAAAATTTCAAAGTATTGAATAATTAGAAAAAGGATTTATAATATATTTATTATTAGAGCATAATTATAAGTAATTTTATTTACGTCAGTCTTTAAAGTTAATTTTAAATACTTAAAATACAAAAGTTTTTAAGAAAAATTTAATTGAAATATTATTTATAGAATGAAAAATTATTATTATTGTATTTTTTAAATGCTTCTCTAGCATATTTTAACAAATTTATCTATTCATTATTTTCTAAACCAAATTGGTAACGATGGTCAAGATTCAAAATTTTTATTAAAAAGAAAAAAAATGTTACACAAAAAATATAAAAATATATTAAATGCTTTCTTTCTTAATAAAAAATTATATATCACTTTGCATGTTTAAAATAAATGCTAATGTTATTATTTTTCAAATATATATTATTATTTGAATGAAAAAATATGCAATTTGAGTGACACAAGCTTTACTATAAATGATTAAAATATCTTATATATTAATAAAAAGAAAGAACAAATAAATGAACCATTGTGGATAACAACTTTCAGGAAAAGATTAACAAAACCTTCGACATATATTTAAAGGTACACAATAAATATTAAATGTTTTTTGATCAAAATTGATTATATTTAACATTATCAGTGCATTAAATTTTGTAATATTTTTATGATATCTTAGAAAAAAATATTATACATAAACTTTTATCAAACATTCTTTAAAACACACAATAAAAAAAAAAGATAGTGATGATTTACCCTGATAGCTAATAAAAATTATATTTTCTTGGAAAAGAAAAAACGATTTAATGTTAAAAGATTCAAGATTTGTTAATTTAAATAAATAGTAAATAAACCCTTATTTTTCTATCCTATATTCTATATTTTTGAAGGAACTGAATTGAATGAAAAAGCATATGGGTATATGATTCTTTCTTTGATGATGAGTTTTTCTTGGATAGGAAAGGGTTCATGTGATCATGAAAGATTTGTTCCACAATGACAGAGCTGAGTTGACGAGGATACCAAAAAGCGCAACATTACTATTCAATTAGACAGGAACGAGCAGAGCCTATGTTAGAGGCGCACGCATGGCTGGCAATCGCTGCAGGATGTGGTGGCTCCACCATGTCTTTAGCCGCATGTTGGAACACTCTCCATCTCCTCCTTTCTTCTTCATGCAAACCCTCACTCTTATCTTATTTAGAGCACCTTCACGTCTTATTTATAATCGTATTAGATAGAACTGTCTTATCTTAATCATCAACTGTATTTGGATTGTTATGCTGTAGATACGACGGTGCAAAGATTTATCAACCGACTCCCCATAACCGACTACTGATTTCAACATTTTGAATTAGAAATGTAGGTTGTGATCTTCGACCCTGCATGTTTGATTTTTAAGTTTGAAAATTCAAACACATTACAAGTTCCTAAAATTTTCTGTGGTATCATCAAAAAGACATAGGGATTCTGAAACGTCAAAATTGAAATGGGACAAGACATCCCCGCCTTTAAATTTTGATTACGCACAAGAATGACAAAATGTAAAACATCTGATCCAAGATTGCTTGCCCCATCAATTATATTCGTAATTCTTATATCAAAATTCTATTAAACTTTCACCCACTGTCGCATCATATTATTATTATTTTATCTCTCCTTCCTCCGAAATGTATAATTATCTTTAAAAAAATAATTATTACAGTGATTATAAACTTAAAAAATATTTTATACACAATTATAATCATCTAAATATTTTAAAAATAATTTTTTTTATATTTTTTTAATATAAATTACTAATCATTATTGTATAATATTAACAGTTATCATCATTTCATGAAAAAAAGATATAAAATATTTCATAAATCTTTAAGATATTATAGAAACAAATTTTTTTTTTCTAAAAACACATTTTTTAAAATAAAGCCGTAACACTTGGCAAGAATTTTTTTTCTACATTTTAAAATTGTTAGATAAAATCAGAAACAAGGTGTTAAATTAAAAATTGAAGTACTATGAAGGCACTGAAAATTTCCTCCCTCCAAGGGTATGAAAAAAAATCTCAATTTTCTTAGTCAAAATACAAAACTTTTCGAATTTTACAAAATGACTAAAGCTAATATTTGCCATAAAAAAATCTTTAGTCAAAGCTGTAATTGAGTTCCTGCAAATAGATAATAACACGCTTGTGTGTCGGTTTACCTACCCATTAATTAATTATATTAAAACTCGTAGAGAATAAGTTACTTCCAAATTTTGTTCAGCATATAAGCCATAGAAGAACTTACCACGCCATTCTCATTTATTATCTCCCCGGCCCCATTTTTATATTTTAGGAAAAAGTATTCAAATCATTACAAAGCAGCGAAATGCTATTCTGTACCATAAGAATCAACTCACTGACTCAGGATTTCCACTTTTGTAAAGCAATTTGCAACCGTGAATGATTCAGTCTCCACTCTGCACAATAACCTTCTTAATTTACTCGGTGCTCTAGCAGTAATTGCATGTATACTCTAAGCATTTAAGAACCAAACCCTCATCCACATCTGAGATAATAATATTCAGGCCTTGGTGATTTCTTATAGCATCCTTCCAAAGCTAGTTAATGCCATCATTGGCAGTGTCTATATGAAATTTCAGTCAACAAGAAGTGGGAGCATTCCAACATATAGGCGAAGCAGAGTTTCTAAGGAGTATTTTGACTTGTTTGAGTGACAGAGTTTGACTTGAATGAATAATCCTTGTAGATTTTGTCATTTCGGATAGCCCAACATGGAATACAGAAAAGTTGCACGTTACTATGATTTGGGCGATTCTAAGTGAGAACAAAGCCATTTGATAAAAACAACTCTTTCACTAATACGCAAACAAAGTAGGATGCAAATCACACTAAGTTGGACTATATAAGTGCATTGCGAGGACCCTATCTTAATCTTAATCCCCTAAAAAGGAAGAAGAGGAGTAAGAATTACCATTGATTCATTGAATATGGTTAATAAAACTATTCATAGGAAGCCCATATTCGTTAGAGATCACTCTTTATATAATATTTTTTTATTTAAAGTTTAATCAGTAATACATTATTTAACATATTCGTTATAATATATTTTTTATTGACTAAAATATATTAAAAATTACCATTGTAAGAATTATCGTTGTACAGTACATGATTTTAAATTTCTTGCAACGCCTTCACTTAGAATGTTCATTATAGCGTACGTGTGGATGGGTATTCCCAATTTTTAATTTGAGAGACAGACAGAAGCCACTTTTGTGTTAGTTTATAAAGTGGCTATGAGAAGAAAAAAAGGGATATTTTTCCAAACTTGCTAGAAATTCTTGGTCTTCAACAGTTTTCATCAATCAGCCGATCTTGTGATTAAATCTTTCCATTTGCGTGGACGTTTCTCAATCAGTTCTTCAAGTTGGATGATCTGATTCTCGCTTCAAACCTTCCATAATTGTAAGAACATTGTTCTTCTGGGCTCTTTGCGAGTGACCATTTAATTGATGTTATGAAAGAAATCCAAAGGATGTTTGTTTTCAGAAAATACCTTTTTATTTTTTAATTATAAAAACGCTATATTGTTTTATTTTTTTATTTCCAAGTTTTATATGAGAAACAGTGTTTTAAATTTATTTTTTTTACTATTTTGTATAAAAATACAAGATAAAATCAAAAGAAAAAATTGCTTCCTTGAATGTGTTACTAAATTATTAAAACACATGCAACAACGCACCAGATTTGTATTTGTATTAAATTAAAAAAACAAAATTGTTTCAACTATTTAAGTAAGTAAATAAAATATGAAAGAATAAAGCAAGCCAAATAGCTGAATCACATTCAACATAAGATCAATGGAAGGCAACAATAGTTTTCTAATCGAAATGAAATTATGTAGTTACTTTGATGGAACACGAGCTCGCTTTGTGTTCCTGTAGGGTGGCGGGAATGGAACATAGCGATCCAAATAGACATACAAATCTGGTGCATTGGTCTGATTGCAAAAGTTGCGTATGTAACATCAACGTCTCAATTAACTCAACTTTTGACGTCAATCGCACATTGTCGTCACTGTCAGCATTCTTGCCTCAGTTCATTGCATGGCAGATAGCTTCATTGCTTGGCTGGACTTGTCACACTGAAATCTAGGTAAAGGCGCCAGACTCGCTCCAGGGGCCACAATGCCATGTTCAGTAGCAACAAGATTAGACGAACCATCCTCCTTGCAAGAAAGTGAAGGAACATCAATCATCTACATACTTTTTTTCTTTAATGCAATTCATTTATATATGTTTTTCTTATATAGCATAATTGGATGCAGCAAAAAAAATTACAACTACTTATATTAAAATAGATATATTTCTTTAGATATTTAAATACGATAAAAAATTACAGGATGATACTTATCATTGTTTTTTAAAATGAGTTATACTACTTATACGCTAGACCTCTTAATCATAGAAAGTTCAATATCATCTCATACATCAATATTGCAGAAGTTTAAGTTGTTGCGTAAATGCAATTTTTTTTCACATTGATATCTAACTGAGTTACAAGAATATCAATACGAAGTTAA